GTATCTCAGAGGCCTTTTTGTCAGAATGTGATGCCTGCTGACACCATCAGACTTAAAAGTTACGTGGGAAAAAGTTATGCACTAAAACTACATGAGGTGAAAGGGTTCTTAATTCCCTCTTGCCCAAGTATTATTCCTGATTCCATGGGAACTCTATTTCTCTAGAGCAGGGGTAGGCAACCTTGGCTCTTTTATGACTCGTGGACTTCAACTCCCAGAATTCCTGAGCCAGCATGGCTCAGCTTGGAAACCTCTCCCTTTCCCCTCAGCATGGCTGGCTCAGGAATTATGGGAGTTGAAGTCCACGAGTCATAAAAGAGCCAAGGTTGCCTACCCCTGCTCTAGAGGCATGGAGTATAAGAATGGTATAAAGTTCTTTGATTAGATTGGGCTTTCTTTTCCACCTTAGGTGATGCTCTTGTTGCCTCAAGACTTCTGAGACCATTTATCCTCCCACAGATTCATCTTTTGTTCCTCCCACTGTCTGACTGCACATGCCGGATCTCATGGGTGCATGCTTAGGGAGGAGCCTTTGGAAGACTTTGGCAACTCCTTATACCTCATTTCAGCAGGGTGGCCTTTGCAAATTTTCCTGTGGCATACTGGTCAGGTTGAAATAACAACAGGATGGCTGGCAAAACCATATCCTTGATTACTGGTGAGGGAATTTAGTGAGATCTGCAAGGCAGTGCAAGTTTTGAAGAAAAAGGAACATCTTGGTCAAAATCACTGATGTATAAACATGATCATCAGTGCTTGAGTTGTCCTTGTCTGGTCTCCCCTCAGAGCATAAAAGATGCTTCAGAGCATGTGTGGTACAAATGTAGTACTGCCTGCCACTATTTAAAACAACTGCCTCTTTTCTAATCCTGGGATGCTTTCTGGAATTGCAGACAGATACTGTATTTACATTCCTCTTGCTTTAAATTCCCTTTGTGACCTCAGAAGTGCTGAGGCAGCGCTAATAATCAGTGTATTGGTGCATGCAAATCAGTAAAACGTATCAGCTACAGTTAACATAAAAATGGTGACCTTTACAGGGCAGAAGATGCTATTCTTCATGTATAAAACAAAAGATCTTTGTGCCTGGATCTCAAAAAGAGGTCTTTTCTTTCCCCGTGCAGGCCTACATTGCACAGATCTATGGCTACTTTCTACTATTAAGTAACTGGGAAATGAAGAGAACAATGGCAGCTCTTAACAACGGTTGCTCCCTCCTAAAATATTTTTCCATGCCCCTTGAACTATAATATAGAGGTACGAGGGCAATTCGGAAATAAACCTCCATTTGAACATGTGCAAGAAATAGGCGGGGATAGCGACACCCATCCTATGGCGCCGTGTGCAGTAGTTCAGTAGGCAGTGAGGAGTGGAAGGAGAAGGTTGTGTTGCAGTTGACTCGTCCGCTAGATCAATTGAAAATGAACCCTGCCATAGAAAATCCCGCCAAATGTGAAATGCGTGCAGTAATACAATTCCTGTGTGAGAAATTTTTTTGATGAATTACAGCTGCCGAAACTTTTTAGGCATCGCTATCCCTGCCTATTTCTCGCACATGCTCAAATGGAAGTTCATTTCTGAATCGCCCTCGTATTATTTAACGTGTGTGCCTTCAAGTCAGTTTTTGAGTCATGGTGACTAACTGGATAACTTTTTGCAGTTTTCTTGGCAAGATTTGAGAAGTTAGCCATTGCCTGCTTCTTAGGGCTGAGAGAGAGTGACTAATCCAAAGTCCCCCAACTGGCTTTATGTCTATGACAGGATTAGAATTCACAATCTTCTAGTTTGTAAACTGTTGCCTTAACCGCTACTCCAAACTGGCTTTCATTATTGTAACACTACTCTGTTTATCTGGCATACTTTCCTCCATTCAACAGCAGCATTTCACATTTAGTAGTATGTTAATAGCATCAGTGAAAATACTACATGGATGCAGTAGTGGCAGGGTCAAAAAAATCAGTCATGTAAGATTACAGGTGATTCGGGGGCAAATGCTTTCTCACAGCCCAACCTATCTCTTGGGGTTACTGTTGAAGCTATGGGAAAAAAAGCAAGCGGGAGACTATGTATACAGTATTAAGCTCCTGGATGAAAGACTAGATGTAATTCATTAATTAATTAGCTAGCTAGCTAGCTAGTCACACTAGGCCTTCTTGATTGATAGGTTAGTAATCCACCTCTAAATTGTGGTGCTTTAGATGAGAACATAACTTTGTTGAGCAAGTCCTGCTGGGCAAAGATCTACCATCTGTACTAAAGTTCAGACTGCAGTTATCAAACAGGATGCACTGCTCTATTTGAGGGAGTGGAAGAGGAAGAGGAAAGGGAAGCGGAAGGGAAGGGATTCATCTATAGTGGGGGCCAGAAATTTCTCTGCTTCCTTGAATCACGTATGTTAGACCCAGTTCTCTCCCTAAGATCAAATAATAGAAAAGTAATCCTTAGTAATGCTATACAGTATATTAACTACCTGCCCCCGCTTTATTTCAGGGCCATTCTTGAGGCTTTCTTTCAACAAGGACTGGGCAGAAGAACCTCGTAGCCCATTCAGCCCCTCTAAGAAAGACCACTATCTGTAGTTTTAATGTCAAGATTTTAGCCCAAAATGGCGTCAACCAATGCAAATGTGGATTCTTCCTTTACCAACCAAACATGTGAGATTAAATCATAAAAGGGAAAGTTACCACGCAGAGTTAAAAATCCCAACACTTCAGCTTGATTTAAATTCTTGAATATGACAACAATTTGCCATGTCATTTAAACTTAGCCCTCAGCTGCTTTGGTGCAATGTTTGTGTGCCATAGCAGCGCCTTTGTTGCTGAGCTACAGATTAGCCTCCCAGTGTGATGTATGAACAGGAGCTGGGGTTTAAGCAAACACAGATATGTATGTGCAAAGGCTGAAGAGCTTTTTTCTGGCTCCTTCCGCATCGACACAATTAAACGATGCCTACATTTAGCTGTTCAGCCACCTGATCCACAAACTTAGCTAAGAAGCTGAGGAAATATATGTCAGGGTGGATGAATGCGCTCCAACTCGGCTCCATTAAGCTGTCTGGGTGGTGAGTGATTAAAAGGAGATGTTGGTACCCCCTCCGGCTGCATTCCACACTGACTACGCGGCCGGCAGCCTCCAATCCACCCCCGTCTCCTGGCCAGCAAGTGCGGAAGTGGGGAATTTCCTGGCACCAGATGCGGAACAGGAAAGCGGAAATGAAAACAGCAGCAAGCCAGAATAGATTGGGGATGGGAAGAAGGGGTGGGTGGGCCCTTGTCTCTTAAAGGCACAGGATTATCCGTGGGCCAGAAAGGAAATAAATTTATAGAAAACAGATGGGTGAGTGTTCAGGCAGGGACAACGTTTCTCTTTGCTCTCTCCCCCTCCCCCCCCCCGCCATCCACACATTCATTGCAAATCATCTTGCCCCATAACATAGTTTTTTTTTCTTTTTTTCCTTCATTAGCCCATTCAAAACATTACACTGCATGAGAGCAATTTAGGACAAGACTGTAGGTGGCCTCTGGCAGTACAGAAAGAAAAACAATGTACCACACAGCTTTACTTTCGAACGAAATGCCAATTCCTAGCTCTGTCAACACAAAGCATGCTGTGAGAATTATCACCGCCCCACCCATAATCCAGCCTCACAAAGCTGAAAAAAAAATGCTCTGTTGTCCTTGAGAACTGTGAGCATAATGGAGCTCTAAAGATTTTGCCTCCTTTTCTTCTGCCCGAGACACTTTTAGCAGTCTGAAAGGAGGAAATGCTGTATTCCCCAAGCCGCAGAGGCAATTTGCATTTGTGACAATGCAGTGACTGGCTGCAGTCGGTTAGCATTCCAGAATGAATCCATATTAAAATGGATTTGAATAGAAATCCTTAAGAAAGAAGAAAGCACACAGTATCTAGCCGAACTTAAATTCTCAGAAACTTTGTTGCAGATGTGCTCAAAATAATCTAATTTTGTTCTCTATGATCTGTTATCGACAGATAGGATACACCAATAAATAACAGATAGTCCTTCCCATTCACCACAAATTCAGGTCAGGCTTCCTTCCTACTGGATGTCAGACCACGTACTCCCCATCCTGATATGTACCCTTTTCCTCAGTATCCCAGCTGTGCCATCTCCCTCAGGCTGTTTAGCATTGTCTGGAAGTAGGAAAGCTGCAGGCATGGAGTGGGAAGGGGAAAGAGAGAGATGGGGGCACTTATGAATCACCACATGCAATCCAGTCTTTGGAAGTTAGCCAAAGAACACTGCTTTGAAGCAACCAAAAGGCCTAAAGCCTTCACTCTTTCACTTATTAATTGTTCATTCTTGTTTTGAGTAAAGAAAGATTAAATATACTCTTGAGTCCACGAGTAAAAGTGCTGCTAATTAATTTTTCAGAAATTAAGAGTGTTTTGGTCTTTCCATTCTATGTCTGTTTTCTAATACAAATTTGAACCCTTTTATACAAAGCATACCAATGAGGAGAATGCTGTCAAACTATAGTACAAAGATTAGATGTCCGTACAAAAAAGTAGTTGTACTGCATAGCGAATGGATACGATTCTCTCTGGATTCATCCAATTCTTAATATAACTGAGGGTACCTTTTTAAAATTGTACTTGGAAAGATCCTTGTCTCACATACCTCACAGATAATTGTGCTAGAAATTAAAAAAACTAGTAACATACCTCCACAAAAGCTATTTTGATTAAAAGCTATGTGGAAAGCTGGCTACTTCTATAGATACACAAAGCTTTATATTTCACAAGACATTATTTCTGTTGTATGCTAATTAGCTTCAAGTACCAATTTTTAAAATATATTTATTGATGATAAACGTATTTCTGGACCACACTGATTCTTTTTTCTACGGGGCAGACCCTCCTAATAGTTCAGGAAATATACTGAGAATTCTTTGTTTATATTGGCTTGGCTCAGAGTTGTACTGGCAATAAAATAAAATGCATTCTTAACATGTTAAGAAAAATTGGCAAAGTAGCCAATGCATATTTAACAATAATTACTTTATTGATATAGCAAAGTAAATATTCCCAATATGTTGCAATGGTATACCTGTACAATTAAATGTATGCTGTATAAGAAAATGTTCCACTCTGAACAGGATAACCCATCTATTTGGGAAGGTGAATTTTAAAGAAAAGTGTTATCTTTTCACCAAGGAGGAGACATGGGCTGAGGATTTTGAAGATAGGACATCACTACAGCAGAAATAGACAACCTGGAAAAAAGAGAGTAGTGACAGAATTAATGTAGAATCCCTAACATTTTATTCACAATAATATCAAATTACAGTTATTCCAACTTTCCAAAATAGGTAGTCAAATTAAAAATATCTATATATGTTCAGGAATATGTATTTGACATCAGTCCACATTTATTTCGTGCAAGTGTTTTCCTCAGCAATAATTAGCAACTGAGAAACTAAATCACTTCTTGCCCTTGAAGCCTCAACTATCTGCCCAATAGTAGTAGCTCACAAAACAAATATCTTTCCAAATTAACAAGAAGTGATTAAATTTAGAATCACTAGCCTTTACTGAAAGTTACCGAATGATCTTTTTTTTTGGGGGGGGGGAGGAGAATTGAAACTTTAGAATTTAATCAAGAAAATAAGAGTTTTTGTGAGAAAAGAACACAAATCTACAAATACTTTCTTGTGAGATGTAAGCATTATAATCCTAAAAGGAACAGAAGAGTCTGAAAAAGAGAAGATCAATGAGCAAGAAGACAAACTAGAAAAGGAGAATGCTAGTTTATTACTTAACCTGTTGACACAAATAGAAAAAGGGAGAATCATTACTTCTAGGCTAAATCTTTAAAAAATGCAAAAATCTAGTATTTCCACATCCACTGTCAGTGCCCACAGGGTTCGAAAACTGTAACAGAGAGTTGCTTCCACAATATAAAAACACAGTATGAGATAAACACCATATTTATTAGAAAGGAAGATGATCCCATATAGGCATAATGAAAATAAGATGACTGCGGCGACGTGAGGCAATACCTGCCCCTTGTAATTCTGACATCAGGGTTGCATTGTAATATGCTGATGTATGTTTCTATGCTCTCTTTCCTCCAGGAACTTTTATGAGTGATCTTCAATTCAAGGTAATCCCACTCCTTCCTCAAAAAAGGAAGAGTAAAGAGAGGAAAAAGCTCCATAAATAAAAATCCCATGTACTGCCCAACTTCATATTCTTGTAAATCCCAAGGCTGCCAATCAGTCCTAGAGATTTACTTCTCTCAATAAATTTGTGCATGAGTTAACTTGTGTATTATGTAGAAACATGTATAAAATCCATAAAAGAAGAAAACAACAAGAATACACTAAGTATTGATTAAAATTGCCAGTCCCTCGGGAGAAGGGCGGGGTATAAATGGAAACAAATAAATAAATAATAATTGATTCCTATCTACATATACATAAATATACTATTGAGGGGTCCTTGGTGCTCTCTGAGCTTGCTTATTTTCTTGCAGATGTTTTATTACCCTAACTAGGTAACATCATCAGTGCTAGTAAGGAGTGTTGTTTGTTGTCAGTTTATATTCTGTTGTCTAAACATACCATTCTTATACAAGAAACTTCTGAATACAAAAATAGGAATACAAACATTTTTTCAATAATAGCAACAAAAAAAAGAAACATGGAAATACAAGTAGGTGGTAGTTGCATTGTAAGGGGAAAAGAAGAAAAAAGATTGAACGAAACTAAATAAGGATGAAATCAGAACTTATTAAGCAGGGAAAAAATAAAAAGCAGTTCTGTTAAGGCTTCACAAAAAGTTTAAATTCCATAAGCAAGCTGACTCTCCCAAGTTATCTAATTTTCAAAGGCACTGATATTTTCAGGCATTTCCTCGCTATAGATGTAAACATGAAAATGTTGGGAGATCAGATCACTGAGGTGTCCTGCAGTTTGTGGTGATTTTTAATCTAAGGCCTATTGTTCTCCACATGAAGAATAAAAATGTCTGCAGTCAAGCAAAGGAATCTGCTATTATTGCTGTCTCTCCATTGATGAACTCCAGATCCATTTTTCTAGAGACCTTTTTTTTACAGTGAGGTAAAACTTGCTGCTCCCTTTCAATAGTGTGTTTCTTAAAGTAACATCTATTCCATAAATATAACATCTATCTCAATTACAATGAAAGGATCCTTTGAAAAGATGGCCAATAAGGCAGATTTGTCTGGATTACATATTAAGACCGAGTGGCTGTGGCTACCAGCGCCTCGGCATAGTCAGCTGATTCCATCGCTGACTATAGGGGGCGAAACTTTGGCCCCCTCGGATCGGGTCCGCAACTTGGGTGTTCTCCTGGATTCGCGGCTGACATTGGATGACCAGTTGTCGGCCGTGACCAGGGGAGCGTTTTATCAGGTTCGCCTGATTCGCCAGTTGCNTTCCAGCTAGCGGGACTGGCCTAAGGGATTTTAAAGGGGTTTTAATTACTTTTAATCTGACATATTTAAATATTTCTTTTTAATCAAATTTTAATTAGGTGTATAATATGTTAGTATTTTATCCAATTGTCAGCCGCCCTGAGTCCGCAAGGAGAAGGGCGGGATATAAATGTAATTAATAAATAAATAAATAAATAAAATAAAAGAAGAAAAGAGGCAAAATGGAGATGCTCAGGCAACAGAAACTAATAAATGTTTACCATAAAAGCTGATTCCACTATTTGGCAATTTTTCTTGTCAGTGGTCATATACCCCACTGTTCTTCAAAGAACATAAACTCAGCAGAAAGGCCAACATAAGGAAGAGAAAGCAGCTTCAATTATCAATCTACCATGAAGCATCAGGGCTTCACTTTGATCAGAGGTGAAACAGCTTTTAATTTGTACGGACGTATTATAAAATTAGTCACTATCACAGTGATGGCGAACCTTTTAGAGACCGAGTGCCCAAACTGCAACCCAAAACCCACTTATTTATTGCCGGGTGCCAGGTGGGCATGGCTCAATGGGTGGGCATGGCTGTGGTGGTCACGGCAGACTGGGTGGGTGTGGCCAAGGTGGGTGTGGTCACCTCGATGCTGCTCGTGGGGAGGGATGCCTGTGGGGGCTGGGCAGGGTTGGGGGAGATCCAGGGGGTCTCTGGCAGGTGGGGCGGTGGGCAGGAGGCTCATCCTGTGGGATGAGGCGAGGCAAGGCAAGGCAGGGCGGGAGTGCCATTGTCGCAGGGCAAGGCGAGGCAGGGGCCGGGGCGGCTGCTGCCTGACACCATCGGCCCCCGCACACAAGAGGCCAGCAAGCTCATGGGGGCTGACAGTGTCCGTCAGCAGCCACAGTCTGCCGGCCCCTTGACCAGCGCACCCTGGGGCTCTGCAGCCCGCCACCAGCAGTTTAGAGAAGCCGCCTCTGAGCTGGACGGCCGGCTGACAGCTGAGGAGGAGATGCAGTGGGTCGTGCCCGGGAAAAGTAGAGCATGCGAGGCCAGGAGGGATGGGACGGGGGGAGGGAAACCACTGTGCTGGGGTGCATCCGACCAAGTGGGACCTCAGTGAGTTAGCGGGCGGCTGGTTGAAGAGGGATGGTTGCCATCTCTGGGGCATGGTGCGCGTGCCCACAGAGAGGACTCTGAGTGCCGCCTCTGGCACGTGTGTCATAGGTTTGCCACCACTGCACTATCAGATGGAAATCAAAAACAAGAATCATATTTGTAATTTTGAGAACTTTGTAATTAGCATTCCTGAAAAAACATTTCTAAAGCAAGACCTATGTATTCAGAAATTAATACCATGGGAAATCAGACATAATATAAGTCTGAAAGAAGTAAAAACATGGCTTACATGAAACTGCTCATCATCTGTTTGGTGTCTTCTGAACTCCTAGAGTTGGCAAAACTGATAAATGAGCAGTAGACAGCAATCCAAGCACACCACTTTAACTGCAAACACCATAGAAAAATATGATGAGAACCTTATGGGGTCACAAAGATACATCAGAGTTATTCTAGTTTAACAATATTATAAATATTCCACTTTGTTTTTCCTGTGAGTTCAGGAACAGTCTTCAGTTTTAAAAACTAATAAATATTGCTAAAGCAAAATCATGGTAGTTACTTATAAAATACATATGACAAAAATAAAGCCATATTAATGAATTCAGACTTTTTCAGTTGGTTCCATTGAATTAAATGCCATTATCAATGAGAAATATGAACTGAAAATTCTAATTTCAAGAGATATGACATATGAAGTTGTATGTTTTACTGGTAATAATCTTAACAAGAAAAATGTATATGTTGAGAATTACCTAGTAGTGCAGAATGTATAAGGAAGACTAGAAAAAACATCAACATTTTGTTAACATATTGAGATAGAGATTTTATTATTTGTGAAAAGTACCATACAGCTTTCAATACATCGTTATTACAGTGTAGGGTTTTCTGGATTTTTCATAAACTTTGTATGTTGTCACTATCAAATACAAACTCGTGCAAAGCTCTTTTTCTCTCTCTTAGATTATTTCAGCAGCAGTTAAAAGATTTGATATTACATGTGTGGACTATTGTTATGTGAATAATGCCTTGGCCATCTGTAAAAAGAAAGATGCTGATGACTGAGGAAGAAATAAATGCCACTGAGTAAGGCTTAAATTTATCTCATAATTAAACTGAACTTCTATATATACTAACCTGTTGATGGCTTCTAAGTTACATAACCGTATTTGCTATTTCATATAGGCCATCCATTCAGAGCATACAGTTGAATTACTATTAATGTATCTGTCTCTTAATGCTAAGAAGTGATCTGATATAATTAAACTCTTATTTTAATCTAGAATTGAGATCTGAATGAGTTGTTGTAAAGTAGTTGATATATATTTTCAAAAACATTTACATATGATGGTACTATTACCAGTAATGGGTATTGTTATCACTTTTACTCAGAAGACATGTTATCCTCTAGACACAATTCAGATCCCTTAGGCAGAATCAAACTGAAATTAGTGAAAACAGCCCTTGCACAGGATATACCATTATGTATTCCCTGCAGCATGGATATATAGTAAAGCGTTCTGCTAATGAAAGGAATTTCATTTTAACCATTCTATCATCTATAATGCTCCACAATGCTTATACAACTTTTAAAGTCAGTTTTGATTTCTTCTGGAATAATGTACACTAATACAGGGCTTTTCAACCTTTTCACCCATTGTACCACTTTTAGGATATGGCAACATCCGAGTACCACCAGTCGCCTAGCAAGGTGTCAAAAACTTGATGACCAAAAAAAAAAAAGGGAAAAAAGTGATGAAGTACAGGTAGTCCTCGACTTACAACAGTTCGCTTAGTGACTGTTCAAAGTTACAATGGCACTGAAAAAAGTGCCCCCCAAGCCACAGCCAAGCAAGACACCTGCCTGCCCACCCGGCGGCGCTCTTCCTCCTGTCCGAGGTTTTCATTGTTGTGAGCATTTCTGTTGGGGATTGGCAGTAGAGGTGGGATTGGGGGGGGTGTTTGGTTTATATTCCCCCCGTCTGCTGGATGGTTGCAGCAGGTTTTGGTCACTTCATATGACCCTGGAACACTGTGACCGTCATAGATGTGAATCAGTTGCCAAGCATCTGAATGTAAATCACAAGACTCTGGAGATGCTGCAACATTCCAGCTGATCGGCGCTTCTTCTGGGCTCAGCAGAAGCATCAGGATCAGTGCCGAGCTCCAGCTGGAGCCTGGTGCTGATCCTGGCACTTCCACTAAGCCCTGACAGCCCTGAAGAAGCGTTGATCCTGGCGCTTCCACTGAGCCCTGACAGCCCTGCAGCTCCAGCTCAGGCTTGTGCGGTGTTGCCATCGGTTCAGCTCATTCCCCTCCCCTGCTACCACTTTTCTAGGATGGTCGTGTACCACCTGCCAGGCGCCAACGTACCACAGGTGGTACCCGTACCACTGGTTGAAAAGCCCTGCACTAATACATGTTCAGCAGCCTATGTAAATTAACTAAAACTATTAAAAATAAACTCCAAATTAATATGAATTAAAACATTAAACTATTAATTTATTGCTGAAAGTTAAATAGTAACTAGTCAGCCTCTGAAGGTTGGCAGAAAAATTTCTGAGAAATACTGTGTAGTAAATTCAGTTCAACCCTAGAAAGAAAGAAAACTGGAGTTATAAAGAATAATCCAGATCTTATTGCAAAATGCTAGGGCTATACTATCCAATAGCAATTCAATAGTTGTATCATAATATGTAAGTAGTAAAACATTTATTTGATTTGTTCAGTTAGTGTTCTTTATGTCTTTCAGTCAAAACCTGGGTATTCTAATACTCACTTTTAGCATTAAGCCACACATGCTGAAAATCATTCCTAGCAAATTCATATAATCTGGTGTAGGATCTTCCAAAGTAGGGTTGTTTTCTGTAGTTGGAGGCTTGTATCTGCAAATAAAAATTCATTTCTAGCTACAATTTTGAACTGATGAGCAAAACGTAAACTCTACTTTCCCTGCAAAAAATAAAATTTTCATACAAGTTCAAAGTCAACAGCTTGAAAAAAGGAATGGCATCAATGTTCAGTATTTTCTCCCCAAGCTATACTTCAGCACACTGCAGAAAGCTCTCTAAATTTTAATGAATAATAATAATAAAGACCAAACAATAGGAGAAGAGTCTTGTTTTAATATGGACAAGAAAGAAAAATAGGATTATGAATTAAGCTCTGTAAGTTAAGATCTATAAAATTTGTATGCAGGTAGCTTTTGTTTGACAGCCAGTTGGATGTACTAATTAAAGTATCAGGCTAGAAACCATGAGTTCTGGTCCTGCCTTAGGCATAAAGCCAGCTGGGTGACCTTGGGCTAGACATTTTTCTTAACTCAAAGAAGGAGGCAATGGCAAACCACTCCTGAAAATCCTTGCCAAGAAAACTGCAGGAAGTTTTCCAGGCAGTTGCTGAGAACTAAACATGATTGAATGGAAGGAAAAAAGAAAAAGAAGTTCTCATTTAGCGATTGCCTTGGCTGGTGACCATCATAGTTACGACAGTGATGAAAAAGTACCGTAACTGTACAACTAATCCTCACATTTATGAGCCTCACAGGTCTGTAACTAAAGGAAAGCTGGAGCAAGAACATAAACACAGTTGCAGTTTCACTTAGTGACCACTTCCCTTAATGATAGACTTGCTGGTCCCAGTTCTGGCTGCTAAAGTGTCATCTGGCATATTAAATAATATAATAAAAACTATGTTACGAATCATTGGTTAACCGTTCGATATGTAAAGCTCACACAGGTAGCACTTGGATTAAGACAGCAATTAGGCCCCCAATTACCTTCACTAAGTGTTGTGGATGTAAAACATGACATCACCAGATTGCATTGTTTAATGATGACAATCCTGGTAGTTTCTGGTTTCTGTTGTAACCCCTGGAGTGAGAAGAGATAAGAGTCCCAAGTAAGGAGCACAGGAGGAATTGTGCAGGTGCCACGGGGACACTGTGGGCACTAGCAAGCACAGGCGGGTCACTGTGGGCCTCAGAGGCTGAGGAGGGCCAGCAAAGGCGCTGCAGACAGCCATGAGCTACAGAGTGCAGGTGGGGGGGGATTACTATAGAACATGGGTGTCAAACTAGCAATGTTACATGATGTGTCGCAACGTATTGTGACTTTTTTTCCATTGCCGGCAATGGGGTGGGTGTGGTTTCGCCATGACGCATCCAGGCCAAGGGCCGGCAGTTTGACACCCCTGCTATAGAGTATGAGATCTCTGGGGTCTTATACTCCGTAATGAGCTCCTCTGGAAAAAAAAATGACCTTCTGGAGTGACTTGCAACCTTCCCTGCCAGTTTTCCCATTGACTTTGTTTGTGCAAAACTGGCATGAAAGGCCGCAAATGGCAATCACATGATGTGCCTTGCTGTGATGTCATAATTGTGAGCTGGGCACCCAAGCTCCTAGATCGTAATCAGACAACCGCAGGGATGCTGCAAGAGCTGGAACTTCAGTGCTTGAAGTTCCAGCTCTTGCAGCATCCCTGCGGTTGTCTGATTACTTATTTAATTATCTCTTTTTATTGGATTCCCTGATCAAAGGGGCTTCCTTAAGTAAAAACCATGCAAAAGATGTAGGGCTCTTTTCTTCCCCCTCCCATACATAAAGTAATCTAAAGTGAAGAGAAAAAAACATATGCAAAAAATGCATGTCTATTCTTTCTTCTTACTATGCTGGCCTATTTAGTTTGTTGTATGCCCTGGACATCCCACGGATGGTTCAAAAGTTTGCTCAACAGAAAAGAGTAAGCAGCAGTATAAATTATTCCTTAATCATAAAACATCAGTGCAGAGAGATTGCAAATCTAGTAAAAATTTGCAACTTGCTGCACACTTACTTGGGTATAAAACCTTCTAAACTCAATTGGTATACTCATAAGTTATCACACATAGGATTGTACAGATAATCTGATTTGTAGTAGCCTAATTTAACTACATAGTTTAACAAGATTTAAATGTGGGTTTGTTTCTACTGCTCCACTTGGCATTATTGTTTAGTTACCACCATCTGCTCTTAGCTATTTCTTAAATATTGAGATCAAAAAAATACCAAGAACTACGGGGGAAAAAATCGACTATTATCAGACTTCTTTAAATTGGCAAAAATAAAACAAATCATGTACATTAGTACACTATCTTAGCACTGAATTGCAGATAAAACAAAAATTATTATCAGGATCAGATCTGATAGTTGAAGTCATGAGGCTAAATTTCACTTGAACATTAGGAGTGCTTTGTAATTATAACACCAATTGCTACATTCCCATTGAGAATCTCAAGCTCTGCAATGAGCAGAAAATGGGATTAAATTGACCCTGCCCCACCTTCTTTCATATCCTTCTTAATATGCATTTATAATGGTTTTTAAGTGTAATCATGAAAATGTATTTGACAGTTCAATAGTTTTACTTTAGAAATTCAAATGCAAGCAACCACCACTCCACTGTATTTCTTCATTTTGTTCTCCAATTTACTTCCTAAACTGAAGCCATAATACTGTTTGTTTTTATTAAACTTTACTACATGTATTCTATAATGCAGAAAAAATACATCCAAAGCTTTATGTAAGGTATAATGCCTCTTTGCTCATGTACATTCAAGTAACATAGTAAGACCTCAACCATAGTTACTCATATTTTAATAATGCACTCTTAAAATAAAAGGACTTGAGCCATGCCTATCTTATTTCAATACACCAATACATTTTTCTCTGAACTGAAGCTTTAGTCTGAAATTAGCCATATCGGAAGTATGTTATGTTTTCCTCAGGCTTTATTCAGGTATCAATTTATCCTCTCTTTGAAGTTGTAATATTAACTATCCCTGGGCATTTCTATATATTCACCAATTAGTACTACTACTAAAAATAGTTAGGCTAGAGTTAAAGGAACTGGGCTACAAAGAAAAAAAGAAACCTCTAGCTCTTTTGTTGTCATTTCATAGTTGTGTATTTTGTATTGGAACTGGGAGTTTTAAGTTAGCTGCTACCACAGGGCATATCAATTTAGTTCTTGAAAGTAAATAACACTTTCACACTTCAAAGCATTCCATTTTTCAGGAAAAGTTTCAGTCTTTCATTGGCATAGAGTTGTGGATTATAAGCACTGTGTTAAATATGATTATGCAAATTACAACATCACTGTAACTTTTGAACAGTACCCATGAAACTACCGGGGAAGGCTATTCGTGACATTTTGTAAGCTTTTGTTTTTATCCTGACTACTTATTCTTTATTTTTTTTAAAAAAAACTAGAATATCAGCTCTTTGCAGACACACCCATAACTAGCAAGGCCAACGTCTCCCTGACCTTTCAAAATCAAACAAATATGTGTAAATAACCTCTTGCTCTCACCAAATTACTCACGGGTATTATTGCCGTAGAACAGTGTTTCTCAACCTTGACCATTTTAAGGCATGTGGACTTCAACTCCCAGAATTCCACAGCCAGCATTGCTGGCTGTGGAATTCTGGGAGTTGAAGTCCACATGCCTTAAAATGGTCAAGGTTGAGAAACACTGCCGTAGAATCAGGGCCTACTTTGACCGTTTGAAACTATCTGCCCTTCCGCAATATTTGTCTCCCTTTTCTAACCATGGCATTTTTTCCCCCTATGTGATTTTTTTCCCCTCGCTAACGACAGCAGCCAGACCGCCCCCTCCCCTCGCGACTTGACTCCAATGTTGCTATAGCGACCCCAGGCAAGTCACGTGCCATCATTCGTGACTTGTCCGTTCCATCTCCTTCCGTGCTACAGCAACTCCGGACCCAAGTCGTGACGTTACCATGCCGACTCCCAATCCCCACACTGCTGCCTGACCTGAGAACGCGGTTGGGACGCCGCGGATCTGCCATACTGTTGCTAGCCATCCCACTGGGCCGCGGGGCTACAGTGCTGTACTGACAACGACCTCCTTCGAGGCCGCAGCGACTTCCGCTTCCTTTCAGTGCCGCAGGGGGGATGATTAAGAGTGTAACACCCTCGAGTTTAGGCGCTGTTGTTCCGACCTATGAGTCCACGCTTCCCTTGACTCGAAAGGCCTTGAAACTAAAATTTCTGGCCGAGGAGGAGGAGGAGGAGGCGGCGGCGGAAGAATGTTGTAGCCCTTCCTTTCTCGCTTGAAGAAATTATGCCGAGAGGGGGTGGAACTAATGAAACTAGATCGGAGGAGTAAATTGACGAGTCGACGCCTGTATTTCCCTATAATCTTCCTTCTTGCTATTTCGTAAGTAGAAGGTGCAAGAGGTTACTAAGAAATGTGAACGATTTTCCCACATGAATAGTTCCATGATTGGAGGAGGCGGCGGGCGTGTAGGAAAGAGCTTTAATTTCAATAACTGGCTTCTTATCCACGTAGGGTTGCCAGGTGTCCACTATTTGAGTGGACAGTCCACTTTTTTCACATTATGTTCACTATTTTTTTTCACAAAATAGTGGACATTTTTTTTATTCAAAAGCTTTATGATGAAATGGTACGTAATCTAAAGCTGTACAGTCTACTTTTTTTACTACTTAACCCCCCCCACTTGTCCGCTATTTTTTGGAAGCAGACCTGGCAACCCTATATCCACGTACAACATTCGAGCTTTGAAAGGATCCCTGGTACAGCCTCCCCGCCCCCCCGCCCCCCTCCATCCTCTGTCCGGTAAAATTCCATTTTGACTATCCGGAGACTCTCCATCGAGTAGCATCGTTTGCTACAGACCAAACGAGAGTTGCAGATCTGAGCTGCGACCATCATTTAATCGAAGCAAAAAGAGATTTGGTTAGCACAGTGGTTCTCAACCTTTTTAATGCCACGACCCCAACCGGTCGTAAGTCGAGGACTAAACCGGTCGTAAGTCGAGGACTAAACCGGTCGTAAGTCGAGGACTACCCAACCGGTTGTAAGTCGAGGACTTTCCCTGCCCGGGAGTGCCGCGCATGCGTGGTTCCGCCCCCTGCGCCGGCCGTCCGCATCGACCGTTCGCCGTCTCTGCCTCGTCCGGCTGGTGGTCGACCGGGTCGGGTTCCCTCCATTCCGTGGGCGGCCTTTTCCCCTTTTTTTACCGCCTGTTTTTTTTACCGCCTGTCGGAACGAACCGCACCCCCGTGAAATGGTCGATCGACCCCAAATGGGGTCCCGACCCACAGGTTGAGAACCACTGGGTTAGCACCATTGCTGCCACCGGTTGTTTGTAGCCCAGCCTAGTCAAAGATCAACCTCAATGTTTCTTCCCCTCCCTGCTTTATCCTGAATTTTGGGTCCTTTTGCCTGAGACTTTTTGGATATTAAAAAGCTGGTGCTTTTGTGAATCTTCAATTGGTCTTAATAAAAATGGTTTCAGTCCTTACCTCCCCTATTCCAATACGGGTAGTTCTTTATTTACAACAGTTCATTTAGTGACCATACGAAATTATAATGTCACTGAAAGTGACTTATGACCATTTTTCACACTTACGACTGTTGCAGCATACTCATGGTCATGTGACCAAGAGTTGGATGCTTGGCAAATGGTTCATATTTATGACAGTTGCAGTGTCCCCAGATCACCTGTTGCAGCCTTCTGACAAGCAAAGTCAATGGGGAAGCCAGATTGTTATTAATTTAACAACTGCAATTATTCACTTAACAACTGTGGGAAGAAAAGTCGTAAAATGGGGCAAAACTCATTTAACATAAATTGTGGATTCCATTATGGTCGTAAGTCAAGGACTACTTGTATAGCTGCTGTGTAAGAAAGGCACCATAAAGAACAATTAAGTGTTATAATGCCTAAAGAAGTAAAGCTGAAAGGTTTTGAAGGAAGAGCATGCTCAACAGACCTTTCTGAAAGTTTAAAGTGACCTAGGCTTAAGCAAAACAGACTTGTAAAGATAACAAGTGGTGTGAAATCAGAAGATGCAGACAGGCTTCTCAAGGAGACTGGCATGTTGTTATGCAGCAGTTTCCCAAATAGATGTTTTACATACAATAGGAAGATGTTGCTTCAGCATAGCAAATGTAGAGTATATGTTTGACTTGGTTTACTAAGTAGCCATTGACTGAAATAATCTATTTTGATATGTTATTTTTGAAACAAAATTGGTTGCTCAAACAGAGATTGCAACTGACAAATGTTTTCTTTGTGTATTTTATTTTGCAATAAGGTAATGCAATTCAAGAGGCAACAAGTACCCAGAAGCAACATAGTCCTAATGCATCAGCCTGCCTGTTTCTAGAGATTTTGCTGTGGATGTTCAGTATTATGCATGTGGGATTTTTTTTAGCAATCAAGATACATCTATGTTATGGCCTTTCCAGAACCCAAACCCAAGAAACCTGAGCTTCCCCAAAAATTGCTTGCTACACTAGAATGTAAACAAGGAGCTATAAGAGCAGTGAGATTCAATGGTGAGTGTATTTTGGATTCCATAAAATAGGAACAGCGGGTTTCAGTTATTAGAACTAGGGAAATCTCGGAAGCAAATATATGTAAAATTAATGGTGTATAAATGTAAGCTTTTAGTAAGTTGTGAACAGATCAAGGAAACAGTTGTAATGATTATTAAAAGATAGCTAGTGAGAGATGTGTCTTGCTTGTTGGGACAATACGTTTGAAATTGCAAAATGAATAGTGGAATTTGCATCATTCTAAGAGAAATGAAACAGACCGTCTTCCAGGGATTCCCTGGAATTTGCTTAGCTAGATAACATTAAATGAGACTTTTCTTTTTCTCAGTGGATGGAAATTACTGTCTCACCTGTGGCAGTGACAAATCACTCAAGCTTTGGAACCCACACAAAAGGACTCTCCTCAAGACATATTGTGGCCATGGCTATGAAGTCCTAGATGCTGCAGGGTAGGAATTAGGGGAGGTGGATCCACTTTATTAAAAAAAAAAAAAAAGCTATTTTGAAATACTGAAATACTTTACGAAAGTTTAAAATAACTGGATTAGATGATGGGGAACAGATTTTGCAAAAGATATTATTTTGGAAAATACAAATAGCGTGTAAAATTCCATAATGAAATAAAAAATAAACTAAAAATAATCTTGACAATAATTACTCCATAATGTAAATTAATAAAAATAGTTTATATGAAAACAATTACTATGAAATTAAAGAATTTAAATTATAATATTATTCATAGGTAAAAAGTGTGTTTCTGTGAAGTTTGGGTAAGGAAAAAAAGAATGATACAGTAATTGTCCAGGAAATTCTACTCATGTTCATATTTTAAAATCTTGTCAAACCTTTTTTGCTGTTAAATTGACTGAAAACTTATATTAAAAACATTGAGAACCTCAATATACGTTCTGCACTCAGAACATATATAGCTCTTAAAAAGAAAAATACTTTTGATTTAGATGCTAAGGAAAATTATTTCTCTTGCTTTTCGTATCCCTTTCTTTATCTGTGTTTTCCTTAGGTCATTTGACAACAGCCAACTTTGTTCATGTGGAGCAGACAAAACAGTTGTGCTGTGGGATGTCGCCACAGGCCAAGTGATTCGCAAGTTCCGTGGCCATGCAGGGGTAAGATGTATTTTGTCCTTTGGAGTGCTTGGAAAGTGAGAAGATTCATGTCTTTTTGAAATATGAATTCCTCTGAGAAGATAACAATTATATGTTCTGCTTTTGAGAGCCTCAGAATCCCTGATGTTTTTTTCTGGTTGGCAGAAACCCTTATAAAATATAATGGGAGAGAAAAGTTGGATGACATTCAGAATTGTCTGGGATAAGTAAAAATGTTACTGGAGACATGGATAAAGAAAACAAGATTATAGAAACAGGGATTTGCAATTCTCAGATGAAAAAATACAAGACACCAGTTGATTTGCTGAATGATGAATTATTGGTCTTGTACATAAGAAATGGATGAGAAAGGCTCTGTGTCTCAATGAATTTGCTTAGAATATCTGCCCCAATAGTTTCTGCATTTCAACATATTCTTCCAAAGAAACTACAAAAAAGAGGAACCTTTATAAAATGCAATCATTTGCTTATTTAGCAATTACGTATACCAGTGATGGTGAACCTTTTAGAGACTGAGTGCCCAAACTGCAACCCAAAACCCACTTATGCATCGTCGAGTGCCGGGTGGGTGTGTCACATTGGCTGGGTGTGGCCAATTGGGTGGGCATGGCCAATTGGGTGGGCATGGCTGCGGTGGTAACGGCAGACTGGGTGGGACTAAAAAGTTCAGTCAATCAATTCCAACTTTGCAAGACCTTTTTTTTTCCGTGAGAAGTTGAAATTGACTGATTGAACTTTTTTTTTTTTTTGCACATGGCAGCGGAGGCCTAAAGCGAAAAGGTTTTATAAAACCCAGCTAAAGGCCTAGGACTGGGGCGATGGCGCGCGTGCCCACAGAGAGGGCTCTGAGTGCCACCTCTGGCACCCGTGCCATAGGTTTGCCACCACTGACGTATACCATAAACTGCATCAGTATGCATTTATATGGGCTGTGATACAATGAGCCAATGCTGTAAAGTGTAAGCCTCAGCATGGTCGGTAAGATTCAGTATCAACATGAACTTTTTTCACAAGTAACTTCAGTGAACTCAACATTTTTTGAGGGGAGGTTGGGTTTACGTTTGTTGAGATTCTAACTAAGAAATTGTGAGTTCAGTAGCACATCTGCTATGAAGCACACAGATGTCTTTACCATGTGCCTCCAGAAGTATTTAGCGTGTTGTAGTATTCTAACTTGGATATATTATTATGACATCTTATTGATTGTTCTTTTCATGAGCATAGTTAAATGGAATATTATTTAAATTTCTGCTCAGTATACTTGTGTAAACCCAATGAATACACCTATGCACACCTGATACTGAGGTCTCTGGCTAAGGATTATAGTGGGTGGCAATAAGTAGGAGTGATTAAAAAAAACTATGGTACTGATGAAGAGAATAGTTAAGGAAAAGTATAATGCCTAATAGTTATGAAATTATGTAGGAGGTTTGACTAGCTGTGGTGAGGGATGGAACTATGGCTGTACAAACA